ATATATGTTACATGCACTGGCACGCATAAAGGTGCTATTTAACTCAGCAAAACAGCAATAAAGTAGTATTCTCAGGAGTTGTATAACAAGAAGATAGCTAAATACATTCCTCAGCAACTGAAATCTCTCACTGAGTAACTTCAAAGTTGAGAAAAATTACTATATTCTTTAATGATTTTCATATCAAGTAACCATAAAATTTGAATAATTATATCTGAACAGTGGATAGTAGGATAATCAGCTCTATTGAGTCACTTTTTAGTCATACTAAAGTCCTTCCAGTTTCCCCACTTACCAGTCTCCCTCTTCTTCAAGTTCTATCAGCCGCTTGAACTGTTTCCACATTGTACCTCCCTTTCCCCCTCCATTGTCCACCTGGTTCTTATTCATATTTTATATTTCAGAAACAGCTTACTTCTGAGAAGGTGAACTAATTCACATTTAGATAGAACATTTAAATAGACCAATTTTACTAAAAGAAATGTCAAGTACATTATTATGACATTTTATTTAAAATTAGCAAAAGCTAAATAAACCAAGGAAAATATAATATTTTTGAATTAGAAAATTTAGTATTGACAGAAAGATTTGATTTCTCTAAAACTGGTCTCCAAACTAAATGCAATATTAAGAAAAATCCAAATTTATTTCAGAAAAACAGAAAAGCTACTTCTTAAATTTATATAAAGTATGAAAAGAATTTCAAGATAAATTAGCACAAGAGAAAAATATTGCAGAAGTTAAACTTCTGAATACAAGTTTTTCTTGTAAGCCTAGCAGAATAAATGTGATATTGTAATTATACAAGGATAGAAACAGACTCCAATGGAACAGAATACTGTGCAGAAATGATCTCATATGTATATGTACACTTCATTTGTTGTAGGATCACCTGAAAAATAGTTAGATATGGACAGTCTAGTTGATATAGGTGAAAATATTATATCAGCTCCTTTGTTATTTCATGTATCTTTAGATCTAAAAGAAAAATTTAAAAAAGATACATTTTTTATAACTTGGAGACAATGATTTCCTAAAGATTATATAAAAAGCAATGTGTATATAAATCATTAACAAAATAAAACTGCATTAATAATAGTTCATTAAGAGACTCAATCTGGAAAATAAAAAAGTAATCTCGAGTCAGAAAATACATTTGTAATACCAAATTTAATTGTCAAAGGACTTATAATGTGAACACTATAAAAAAGCTGTGTGAGTCAATAAGGAAAAACATCACCCTAGTAAACAATGAGTAAGAGACAAAATTTAGAACTTCACAAAAGAAAACATATAAATGATTAATAAATGTATGAAAATGTCCTCAACCTCATTGATAAGGAAAGCACAAATGAAAGTTATGTATATATTCTTCAGAAAGAATAAAGTTAGGGAAATTGACAACACTAAGGTTGTGGAACGATTGTGACAAATAAAACTTTCACATGTAGGTGATATAAGCATAACATGATATAATCACTAAAAAAAAATTGTAATTTGCTAATATAGCTAAAAACAGTTAAATATTTATATTATGAGCTGTGCAACCATAGAAATTCAGATGACAAGATTGCTGGCTCAGTTGCTCAGAGTTGTGTCATTGTCATCTTTAGATGTCTTAAGCATCTGCAGTGATAGTAGTAGTGCCTCTTTGATTCCTGGTAGCTTTTTTATACTCTCTTTTTCCCTCTCAATATTTCTCAAATTTTCAATAGTAACTGCTGTAGTCTAAGCTTTTCCTACATTCTTCCTTTCTTCTTTTCTCCTTTGGCTCAGAAGACAAACATAGCTTCTGGCTTCTTTAATATCTGTTTTCCCTGGTTCGCCTATTTATGAAAGTTGTGAGCCTTTATCATGATAATAATCCCTCTTATAATTCAAAAATTTAGAATGGAATATCTCTTCATCCTAGTAAAATCCATTTATGGGAAACATAATAATTGAAAAATCTAGCTATCAATGTGTTTTATATAAATTTTCAGACAAATATGAGGAGTAGGTATGCAGAGAGGGAAAAGATGTGAGAATTTTACTGTTAATGAAAAGCATCATATTTCCTGGGAGAGTACAGGACTTAGATATAAAGAAAATGAAAGGACTCGGTATTAGATCAATAGAAAAGAGCACTCACTGGGAAAAAGGCAAAACACTTTATTTTCCAGTTTGTCCTATGCTGGACTGTCTATCTCATACTGGAAGATATTTCTTAAAAAGAGTTTTACAATGACAATGCTGTAAGTATTCTTCATGCTTTACTTGGCTTTGTTTGCAACCAAATTACTCAAGAAAGAATGAGGTCCAGGGATTTACCTCAGTGGTTCTGGTGCCTGCCTCTCAATCATAAGGTCCCGAATTTGATCCCTGGTACCAAAAAAAAAAAAAAAGAAAGAAAAAGAAAGAATGAGAAATTATTGAAGCTACAGGTATATCATGTGTAATGTTTTAATCATCAAAAAGAATTGCCATAAATAGTGTCATATAAAAGCCTGCAATTCGAAAAAATAGTTTTGGGGCCAGAGTTGCAGCTCAGTGACACTGCACCTGCCTGGTCCTGAGTTTGATCCCTGGTACAAAAAAATCAAAAAGAAAAGTACTTTTCTTTTCAAATTTTCCATTGTACTACCACAGTAATTCATATAATTCTTTAGAAGTTTTAAATGGTTGTACTTTCATTGCATTTCTGAATTTCTGCTAATAGCTTAGAAATACTCAGGATTCCTAAATCAAGAAGCTTCTTACAACACAGCACAATAATTTCTTCTCATCAAGACTTAATAGTTTGCAAAACCCACTTATGGCATTTTCAATATGTTACTACTCACTCATGACTCATTCAATCAGGTCAAGTGTGAGAGTTAAAACCACTGGAATGAAGTCATAGTAGAAATTCAATAGCAATAACTTACTCCACAAATGGAAACAGGAGCACAGCTGTTATGTTAAAAGACAGTTGTGTTGGTAAGAAGAGAAGAAAATTAAAACATGCACTCAAAGTAATGATCATGGTGTGATAACATGACACCTAATATCCCATGGAGAAAAAGCATTAAATGCCTCATATTACCATGGTGTGCATGATTAACAGTTTTGAATGTGAGCGTTCTCCTATAACAAGTTAAACAATTTGAAGCTAGAGTAATTTCAGAGGAGGATCTCACTGGCAAACATTGGCAAACTTCCAAGAGTGCCTTATACTGCATTGCATGTTAAAAGACTTCAGAGAAAACATTAATAATCCCAAGGTTAAAATCGAGGATTTTTTAAATTTAAGAAACAAATGTGTATATAAACATCTTAGGTAAATAAGCCTTTCTAAAACATTTAATACTATTAACAGTATACATTGTATTCGTTAGCATAAAACACATTTGGATTATTTTTATGATAGTATATATGAACTCATTTATTTGTTCATTGCAAAACTATTTATTGTATAGCTGCGGTGGGCAAAGTTTTTATTTGAGGAGGTAAATAAAAAGAATCATAAAGCATATTTCAGAAACTAATGGTACATTGTTCCCATTTGCAATTTTATAGTCATTAGGGGTCTTTGCTAGTATTCTAGAAAGTTGAATGAAACTTCTGAGCCCTCTTGCTATTAGGCATGGACATATACCTTGTTCTCACTAACACAGTGTAAACTAGAGTGTATTCTGTTATTTATAGATCATGACTCTTCTTTTAATCTTCACATGGAAACAAGTGAAGTTTCAAATATTAATGACAGACCTATGATTAGATCCCTAACTAAAATATGTCAAGTAGAAACTACTGCCTAAAATGGCATAAAGTCTGATCAAGAAATGAACATTTGCTGGTTTGAGTTTTATTTTTGCTACTTTTTTTACTTTTAAATAGGTTACACTTTTTCCTTTCTGTAATCCTAGTTTTTCATTGCTCATGTATCCTCTTGTCTTCTTAGTTTAATCTGTAATCTGGATTACCAGCTATGAAACAGTACATCTAGAGCCATGTTTATACTCATATGAGATGGAACAAAAAAAGGAACAATGTTGTTTCTATTGAAGAAGGACTGGAGTGTATGGATAGTTTTTGGCCACTTAAGGACAATGCAGACATAGGAGATAATGAATGTGGAACAAGGCTTGAAACAGATGTCATAGACAGTTTGAGTCACTAAAGAAAATAGAAGCCAGAAAAAAACATTGAATTCCATTTAAACATGAGAGAAATTCAGGACCCCAAGAACTAAGTGGAAAGGAAAGGAAAGGAAAGAAATGTCTCTTTAATGGACAAGGAAAATCTTCACATCCACAGTGAGAAGCAGTGCCATCTGCCTGCTACTGCTATTTAACCTCCTCTTGTGATCTCACCTGAATCATCTCACTTTCAAAGAGTAACCTCTTCATTTCCTTACTGTCTTTCTCTCTTAACATTCTCATTAGTGCCAGTGGAGTGTCTTACTATGGAATCCTGTATTTATTACATTGAACTCTGTGTGCTTACCTCTCACATTGAGGAACATCTCCTCAGGAGACGTTTTCCTAATAAAACTTTCATTTATTTATTTATTTATTAAAATTTTTTTTTCCCATTAAGTTTATTGGTACATTTTAGGTATAAAATACAGTTACATTCATCGTTAAGATCTTGTACCATTACATGAGTATCTTGGTTCTTATTTTTTTTCCCCTTCCCTTGCCCTCCCTTTATCCCCTTCACCCTTCCCTATTTGCAAAGACTTTGTTTCCATTTTTTCCTTTTCTCATATTTTTTATTTTCCCTTTTTTCTTTTCCCCTACCCCTCCCACTTCCCCTACTCCTTTAGGCCTTTTCTTCCTATTACACAATATCAATTATACATTTTTTAAATTACAATATCAAGATCTAGGAGACATTACCACAGATTTTACAGAATTTAAAAGGATATAGAAAGCATATTACAAAAATCTTTTTTGAAATAAATTTGACAGCTTCTAAGAAGTACCTTCTCTGCCCTAGGAGCATCGGATGGCAGCGGGGGAGCTTCCTTCCAGGTTCTGGGACTGGCTCAGCTTCTCTGCCCCCTTAATAAAACTTTCAAAGAGCAACAAGTATTTTTATTCATCAAAGAACAAAATGGCATTTGCATTACTTAGTTAAAACAGAAGGTTCTGTTCAATAATCTATAATATTTAAAGAGCACAGACATTCATCTTGAGGTCAAGAAAGGATATTCCTTATCAGGAGAGTAGGAAAATTGTTCTCACTTCTGTTCCCTCTAAAGTTGAAAACATTTCCTAGGAAGTTATGTTTGGAACCACTGTACTAGACAATATAGAAAAACAGAAAAATTTCTTTTTCAGTTTTTATTGCAATTATTAGTGTATGCTAATTGTACAGAGTAATGGATTTTTTGTGAAATTTTCATACACACATATAACATACTTTGATTATATCCACTCTACAATTTTTACCCTTTCCTTATGCTCCCCTTGGTCTTTTTCTCTTCCCTAAAAGCCCCTCTTCTACTTTAGTATCTTTCCCCCCATAGATTTTACATATTAGCTAAAACATGTAAAATTAAAAACAATATTCTTGCTGAGTTTTTTTTTTATTTTCCTTAACACACTGATTTTCAGTTTCATCTATTTTCCTGCAAATGATATGAATTCATCCCTTTTTGTGGTTCCATAATACTTCATTGCATACCTATACAATTTATCCATTCATCTATTGTTAGGCATATAGGCTAATTCCATAATTTGGCTACTGTGAATAGTGTTTCAGTAAACATAGATATGCAGATATCTTTATTGTTTGCTGACTTTTTAAATTCCTTCAGATATATACTCAGGAGTGGTATAGCTGGAACCTATGATATTTCTATTTTTAAGGTTATTTTTTTGAGGAACTGTCAAACTAATTTCATTAATATCTGTACTCATTTGTATCCCCACCAACTGTGTATAAGGATTTCTTTGTGTTGCATCCTCACAAACACGTTTTTGTTTTTTCTCAATACTAGTTATTCTGACTGGAGTGAGATGAACTCTCAAGGTACATTTGATTTATGTTTTTTTCTGAAGGCTAAAGATGTTGAGTATTTTTTTTTATATACACAAGCCATTTGTATTTCTTTTGAGAAGTGTCTGTTCGACTCATTTGACTTTATTGATTAGATTACTTGTTATTTTGCTTTGCTGTGCAGAAGCTTTTTAATCTGGTACTATCCAATTTGTCAATTCTTTCCTTTATTTACTGAGTTATTGGAGTCCTGTTCAGGATGTTGTTGCCTATACAAATATTGTAAAGTGTTTCCCCTATTTTTTCCTCTAATAATTTCATAGGTTCAGGTCTTGCTTTTAAGTCTTTCATCCAGTTTGATTTGAATTTTGTACACTCTGAAGGATAAGGCCCTAGTTTCCATCTACTGAGGATCCATTTCCAGTTTTCCCAGCACCATTTTTGGAAGAGAGTTTATTCTCCAATATGTTTTTGGTTCAAAGAAAGATTTCTTTAAATAAGATGCAAGCAATTTTCACAAACTGTGTTTTCTGGACTGTGGAAAAGTTCAGGTGGAAGTAACTTGTTTTCATTTTTTGGAAGTATAATTTTTTTATATTTCCACAATTTTATGAAATACAGATTTAACTCTTATTTGTTAAAAATGACAAAATTAAAATCACTTAAAATAATTAAAAATGTAAGAACATGAAATTTTTCATGAACTCTTTTGGGGGGCTGGTGCTTAATTTTTGTTGCATAAATCCTTTAAAGAACAACACAAATATTCTTAAACTACCAAATCTCCCAGAAATCCACTATGTATTTTCATTGCATTTTTATATCTAGAGGCAAAAACTAAAATAAGGCTAATAAGGCATTTGGAGTGTAAAATTTAAAGAAACACTAGTCACATCTTATTTCTTAAAGTTATAACTAATTATTGTTTATAGTCCTTCATAACATCTAATTAGGAGGCTCGTCATTCTCTCCTTTGGAGGCAATTGATTTTTTATACAAACCTCTATCTTCCTTAACCACTGGATGTAATCATATTACTTGAGGAAAACCCAAAAGGACTCCCCTGAAAATTTTGTTTCCTCTCTCTTTTCTCTCCAACTCCAACTGTGTATGTTTCTCACGTACCTATCTGAAATTGGTGACATGGAAGGTAAGTAAATCAACACTAGCAATAGCAAATAAGTTATGTAACAGTTAATCTATGCCAGCCACTCTTCAAAACATTATCTATACTTTCACTTTTTTCGTGAATAATTCTATGAGTTATGGAATTATATTATAAATCACCCCCTTTCCAAATGAGGCATACAGAGTAAGTTCTCAAGGTTATACAGTCTATGAAGCACAGAGTTATATAGAAACCTAAGCAGGTTTCCTCTGGACCTGGGCTGTTGACACCGAGGTTATACTGTCTCTAAATACAGCTTTAAAAGCACCTCTGTTGAAGGGCTGGGGATTTAGCTCAGTGGTACTGCTACCTGCCTTGCAAGCACAAGATCCTGAGTTCAATCCTCGGTACAAAAACAAACAAACAAAATAGCATCTCTGTTGAAGTTTTACACTAAGTATTGAGGTTTATATTAGTATTTATAGCCACATGTTTAATTTATAGATTGAGTTTTGCTGCTATTTTCTTCCTCTTGTCGTTCTCCTCCTCCACTTTCCCTTCCTCCTTTGTCTTCTGCGGTTTTTCTCCACTTCAGTGTTAATTCTACTTTTATTTGAAATTCTTGGCTAAGCTTTTTTTTTTTATGGTGTTGAGCTGAATTTTTGAATTCAAGTTCAGGAGTTCAAACTTTGTCCAGGATTCTTTTTCTATGATTTTTTTTTTTTTCTTGAAACCTCAAAAGAAGTCAAAAGCAAGTACTTTCCAGAAATCACACAGGGTAAAGACATGGTTTGTAAAGATATGTACTGTGAAATCTTTAGTCAAATCTTTCAGTCAAACATGTAGTGTTTGCAAAGATTACACTGTGAAATATTTAAACATTTTTGGACTAGTAATAAATACCAAACCATGTCATTTCTTGGAAATCTTTCATTGATTTCATTTATTGGAAAGGTATAAAATAAAAGTTCAGAATACTTCTGAATTTTCTTAAAGACCAAAGAAAAAATATTACTATACAATATAGTAATATATGAAATATGCTCTTATATGAAATGTACTTAAATAGAGATTAAATTTTGAATTTTGGGTCCTTTTTATTAAATATGAGCTCTTTGGCAAGTTGTTTAGTGATTTTTTTTTTTTATAAAATAAGAATATATAGTCTCTCTTGGTAAATAGGGAAGGGCGGAGGGGGTGAAGGGAGGCCAAGGAATGGGGAAAAAAATAAGAACCAAGATGCATTATGTAAAGGTACAATTCCCAATGAGAAATGTAATTGTGTTGTATACATACAATGTACCAATAAAAGAATTTAATTTAAAAACAAAAGAAATAGGAATATAAATTGTTTCCCTCTTAAAAGACAACCTGAATTACTAAATGAGGGAAATGCATAAATGTACAAAGCAAAAGCCTTGATAAACAGTTTATGTTGCTAAAATTCATCTTCTCATTTCTTATGGCTTTCACCTTTAATCAACCCATAACCCTACTGCTGTATGATTAATTTTATGGCACAAAATCCATCCATCATTGTATTAGTAATTTATTGCTAAATAAAAAGTATCCCTGAACTTATTACCTTAAAAACAAGAATTTATTATTCACACAGTTGCTGAGAACAGAGGAATAGAAATCTGGAAAGACTTTGGAGAACGAATTATGGTTGAAGGTCTCTTCTCGTGCAGGTGCAGTCAATCTATTGAGTTGAACTCTGGATTTTGGAGATGGAGAAATTTTGGAGTGCAGTTGGAAGATCGACTTGCAGGCTTATTAAAATAGCTGTTGGGAAGAAGTTTCATTTATTCCTCATATGTGTCTTTCTTTAGGGATGCTAACCCAAAAATGAGCGATCAAGGTGGGGGGAGAGAGTTTCATAGCTACAATCTAAGAAATGGCATATATCACTTCTACCATATTCTCTTATGTACACAAGGAAATAATGATAAAATATGGGAGGGTACTACCAATGTATATGAATATCAGTAAGATGGACTAATTGTTCACTATCAAGGAAGGTGGTTACTATAATGATTATTCCTATATTCAAAAAACTGTAAAAGTTTCCCTCATTTTTGTGAGTCCACTTCAGTTCCATATTCTGGATTTCTGTCACTTTGAAAAAGACCATGGTGGGCCATGGATTTAACTCAGTGGTGCCATTCCTGCTTTGCAAGTTCAAGGTCCAGAGTTCAATCCCCGGTACCACAAAAAATTAAAATTAAAATTAAAAAAGACCATGGCATCCTTGTCTTGCCTTCCCACTTTCCCTCCTTATCTTATTTCCCATGGCTCTCATCTGTAGGTTACATACTACTAGTTCCTAAGCAACCCATGCATACCACTCAGATCCATGGTTATTTTGCTTACTACATCTTTCTTCTGATAGACTGCCTTATCCTCTTTCTTCCCCAAGAATTGAAACTGTCCTCACAGGTTCAAAACCCAGTGCCACTTACGATATCTCCATGAAAACTTTCTTATTTTGATAATGGAAGTTTCACATTTGCTGAATCCATCACCCTTTATATAAACACATATGACAATTATGATGTCTTTATATTCTAGTATTTACACTCTTCTCTGGAGCCCATACATTGAGGAGGTCAGGTCTTGAGGCTCAGTCATCTTTGTACTCCCTTAGTGGCACACAGTGTGTGGGCCACATGGCATTCACATCAAATATTTTATCTAATCAAAATGAATCACTAAGGCATGCTGGTGTGCAAAGAGCAAAAAAATGAAGGACAGTTGCATGACTTTCAATGTGACTAAATCCTTGTAGCTGTTGACTTTACTTTTGCCAACAGATGGACAGACAGATGCCTCATTAGGTTAATTTTAAAGATGAGAATTTGGCTGTAATTTTGAATGGACATCAGCACATTTTGTTATGAAAAACTGTGTTGAAATGTCTTTTAATTGCCTTCACTTAGGCAGGGAAATGTTCATTTAAAGCAATAAAGAGTTGATAATGGTGTTATTTTTTCCTTGGTATTCTCCACAGGATATTTGCTATGTATAGATATCAGTGGGATAATCTAATATATTGGAAAAATGTTCCCCATGTTTAAGACTGCTGTATTAGAACAAGAGTAAATCTGAAGTAAACTGTAAGGAAGATTTCAGTTTCATACTTCATTTTTTAAAAGACAGACATAAAAACAGAATAGGTACCACCTTTCGGGAGTTTTTGAGTCTTAATGTGTCTATAATGTGGTGAGCATTATGATCAAGGGCAAGGTGACCAAATATTCTTCCTCATTTTCCACTTTATGATTTTAATGATTTGAATGAGCATTTGATGGACTACCAAATACCATTTTATACTTATATACAGAACAAATAAAGAGTAATATGTAGTATTAGGCAATTGCTTTACATCACATACTATTTTATGTTCACAGATTAGTCTTCAGTAACAACAAAATTATTATGGGAAAATGAAGCTTAGGTACTTCAAAGTGTAATGTGGACTACATTTCAGAATCCTATGACATTTTTGAAACTTAAAAATTGATAATAAATTTTATGCCTGAACACATGTAGCTTCTCTTCTCAACACAATGTTTATAAGTCAGTCTGTGCACTACATTGTAGCATTAAACAAATACAGAAATTTCTTTTTCTACCCAATGCAAAGCTTTCATAATTGGTCCAAGGATATTTTATATATAAATATTTGCTACTTCTTACTGCTTAGTCCAGTGAAAATAGATGTTTCAGGTGCATTGGCATTTATCCTCAGTGAGTTAGAGACATCTGTATCCTTCCTCTGCTAATGAGAGCATCTGCTCTGATCTAGACATTTTGCATTTATTGTCTCATTTAATTTTGTTCTCAATACAAACAAGAGGAAGTATTATAATTCTTGTATCTGAGAAAACAAAACTGAATATCATATCTGATTATCAAATTACAAATTAATATCTTTGTAGACAAGAGACTAATATGAGAAACACTAATGAAAAAGCGAAGGAAAGCAGCTATTCTCCTAATTACATTTCATTTAAATTGGTTTTGGAATGTTTCTGTTTAAATTGAATCCTTTATTGAAAATGTAAGGAACAAAAGAGACCTACAAAACTAGACATATTTTTAACTACTAGATATTTACATGGTTTAGGTTGCCACATCAAGTCTTAATGCATATAAAAAGGCTAGATATAAAAAAAAGTCAAAAATTAATTTTGTCCTCCATCACAATATGATGAATCTTTTTAATGAGCATCTTACTTCCCAAAGTGAATATCAGAATCTGTGTCTGGAGAATTCAACTACTCAAAGTATGTAATAAGGCAAGAATTACAGAACTGATTTTGCCAGCTCTTAACAAGTCCTTCTCTTTATTCAGTGTGGTAAGCAATGTCTAAAACCTCTTCCAATGAAGTGCACTTTCTGGAATTTACACTCTCATGTAACTCTCCATTGTCTTCAGTTTGAGGGAAACCTAATGGCCTTTTTGTAATAAATAGAACTTATTACAAGTTGGCTTGATGGGATAACACTTTTGTGATTAGGTTACAAAGATTCTTTAACCTTCTTTTCTTGTACATTAGCTCCCATTTTAGGAATGCCCACAGAACAAGGAATTTGGGGCAGACTTACAGCAAGACCCAGGTAGAAACTGAGACTTTTGTTTCCAGGAATGAATACTGAGCTTAGAAATGGATTCATTTTTTTTTTCCCTTTTATCTTTTTTCAGCACCAAAGACCCAGGAGCTTGCCCTTGCTGGGCAGGCACTGCACAGCTATGTTACATCCCCAGCCCCTAGTTTAGAAATGAATTCATTTCCCTGCTGAGATCTGGATTCACTACAGGGCTGCCACCACCTTAATTGCAGCTTGTGAGAAACCTTGAAGTAGAAGACCCATATAACATGCTTCTAGTTCCTGATCCATAGAAACTGTGAGGTAATGAATATATAGGGTGTAGCTTTAAATTCTGTGGTAATTTTTTTTAAAATACATGTAATATAAGTATGTGTATGTGACTGTGAATATGTTTGTGCCAACAGGTATGATAGAAAACATACGTGGTGATAGGTATAGTATAAGAAAAACTATTGGTGTTTTGATTTTGACTTTTCATAATCAGACGCTACTTGTAGACAATAGGAAAATTAGTTTTACTTCATTAAAAATTTCATTGTACTTGGATGAGCCAATCTAAGATTTTTGTACTGTGAATTTCTACATTGAATTCTAGTTCCTTCTCTCTTTCTTGCAAACTTTATAAGAACCAATCAAAGAACCTGTCAATTATAGAGATTATTCTGCTACTATATTCTATAAAGATCATGTAGAAATAAACTATTAGAGCAAAGATAATTTAGCATAATTGAACCATGTGGGCAATGGTTGAGTGTGTGCCTCTCAAAAATTTTTTTCTGAAATAATTAAGAGGGTACATGATGAATAATAGGAGAATATCAGGAGATAAATCACTTTTAAATGTTGCAAATATGGTTCTAAATTCTGGCTTTGGACAAACTATCCATTTCACAGTCATGAATGAAAAGAATTGCTGGTTATCACAATCTTTCATGGCCAAAGGGCTTTATGTTGATTAACCTGGCTGAAATTCAAAACTTTCTGATTAAGATTGAAGAGTCCATTTGAGAGTGCTTGGCTATGTAATTAAGGAAAACTAAAATGTGAAACACTGCTTTGTGGTTCAGTAATACGAAAGATGCTTCAACCAGCAAAGTTGAAGTATCGTGTTGTACTATGTATCAGAATTTCTTGAGGGAAAAAGTTAGAGTAAATGTAGCGACATTCACAAAAGAAAAAAAAAGGAAAAGAAAAATTTTTTCAAGGTCATTGTGTCACAATAATATATTTTTCTAATTAGCTGTTATTGTAATTTTGACATAAATATGCCAGTAAGGCACATTAATCTTTGTTATTTATATGTAAAACACATATACTTCCATAGAATATATAAGTAGTCTAAAATTTAAGTAAAAAATGCATGCCATCTGTAGTACTTAAGAAATCAGATTAAAATGTGAAATGAGGATCAATTCTTACTATTCTACTATTTGTCTAGGTTTTAACTCAAAGGAAATCTAAATATGGAGGGGCAATATGCTTTTCCTTTATTTTCAGTGATTTCTAACACTAAACTTCTTAAGAGATTTTCTATATAAGATGAATAAAATGAACAAACTGCTCAGTAGTCTAGCACTTAATATAGGTTGAGTTTTTTATGATTAAAATCTATAGGCAAGTAGTTTAAGTTGCAGTTGAAATTTCAAATTTAAAAATATTTTATCTTTTTTATTATTAGAAAATGCATTGTAATAAAACATTAAATGTTTTAGAGACAAAATTAACATAAACCAGTAAATATTTTATGAGAAAATCATATGAAAACAAGTTGAAAGAACATAAATGTTTATCTCAGGCGATAGACACTAAAGGCTTATTATGGTTTGAGGTTTTACATTTTTGCATGGATCTGTGACTTCTTAAATGCCTAATCAAGCAAATAAAGGTCAAACACTGGTACTGTATCTCCACTAGGTATTCGCTTATCAAAAAGAGCATGTTAGTTCTTAGGAAATAAATAATCAGTCTTTGCCGGTTGTGTCATTCTATATTGTCTAAGTGTATCTGAGTGTAATCATACTGAGCTAGGAGATTAGGGCTGGTAGAGCACCTGTTACTTGAAGTTTAATATGTCTCTTTTGATTCAATACTTTTGATTTTCCCAATATTTTGTTAAAGTTTTTCACTATTTTGGAAGAATAGCTATGAGTACTTTTGTCTCCTGCTTGAGTAGTCATTTACTCCAGCCTGCCACTTTTTGTGCTCCTCTCTTCTCTTCTAAATCTAGGTAGATGTCCTCCCTGTTTCTTCAACAGAAGTTTAGGTAATTTATGGACGTGTGTCTGACAGCCCGAGAGAAACATGTATGTGACAAGGAACAGACAATGAAGATCAACCTGACTGGCTGTGAGTATGCAGAAGTAGGGCTGTAGTATTTTTGTTGATAGATAACAGACCCGACCTTTGTTCTTGGAACATGCCAAGGCTTTTTTTTAAAGAGTCATAGAGGGCCACAGACTATGGAGAGGTTTAAGAGTGTGTGGGGGGAGCAATGGTGGTACTGATTTTGCCAGAGATGTCTTTTGGGGGGATGCCCTAAAAGGACTTCTGATCTAGTCTGTCTCTCTTCTCCTTAGGCCCCATGAAGCACCATGGTAAACACCCTGTTTTTCTCACAAACCTCACCATTAGGACATATTATAAACTAGAAAATGGTGAGAGATAGGTAAAAAAATCATTTAAATTGTGATACTATTCTTGAGTTAGGTCTTTTCTAAAAAAGCAAGGAAAGTAGCCTAAAATTCCTTATCTTTGAGCTTTTATGACTCTTCATCAGTAACTATCCATCTGCAAATCCCATAAGATATGGTACTTAAAGAGTCCCTGAATAAGGAGATTGATATAATTGATGATCCCCTCCTGAGACTCCCACCTGTCTCTCAGGGGGATATTGGTCTTCCCTGCCTGTTTAATGAAAGAAACCACATTGGGTGTTCTCTTCAACCTCTTCCTTATAATCTTCAGGCTAGTAAATCAGTCCCACCCTTTCCAACTTACTCAGAAACTAAATCAGTGCCTAGCTCTCCAGAGAGACCCAGTATTCCTCCACCCCCTGCCTCATGCTTCTCAGACATCTTTAACCCTTGCAAGAATACTCATAGTGGAGCTTCCTACTCTTCCTATTCACAGCTCAACCTGCCTCTGTGAGAGGTCCAGAGAGTAGAGATGACTACTCAAGTCGAACCTTCCAAGAAAGGACAGGCCTTATTGAGACAGCATTTCATTTGTCAATCGGCCCAAAATATTTGGTGCAAAGTGCAGAAACTTCAGATAGATCTCCAGACCCCTCTGAACTAATGGATGGATACAGACTTTTCTGTGTTCAACAATTGGCATCTGGAAAAGGGTAAAAGTAAAGAAGAACTGAGAACAAAATTAGGCCAAAATTATGGCTGTCTCAATTGTCAGGGTTTTAAGCAAACTCAAGTGATCTGAGGGAAAACCAAGGCAAATCAGGAAAGAATTCTTGGTTTAAGTGCAAGGCACATAACTGTGTTAGGCCACCGCCAGCCCTGTCCTCTGTGTATCAGGTGGCTGGTGTGCTTGGCTCACGTCAATGGAGGATTGACTTGCCTGCTCCCAGAGAGGGGATGGACCAGCCAAAACACTCACCTCCCGCTCTGATGAAGAGAACTGAATGGTCCTGAGGCAAACTGCAATGCCTCTGTCCACACACATCTCCATATTCTGTGAAGAACCCCATGTAACTCTGGACATCATGGGTAAGCAAATTCAATTCCTGATAGATAGAAAAGGTAGATAGATAGCTTATTTTTTCACTGGAAAATCCTCCTCTAGGTCTGTAGCCATAATTGGGGTTGAGGAGAGCCTTAGGTAGAGCTTCTTCACTTCTTTGATACGTAAACAAATGTTCAACCAAGAGTTCTTAATTGTCCCACAGTGTCCTACTCCTCTACCAGGAAGATATTTACTAGTAAAATTGGTGATAGTTCTCCAATTCTAGCAAAGACTTTAGAAATAAAGTATCATCTCCATCCTGCATGGAATTCTCAGTCTTCTGGATAGGTTGAAGGAATCAATCAGCCTCTAAAGCAAACTCTGAAAAAATTTTGCCATAAGACTTCTGCATCTTGGCTGTGATTATTGTCAATAGCCCTCATGAAGATTCAAAACACCCCCAATTAAACTAATGATGAATTCATTTAGGATGCCATATTGGAGGACTGTTGTTACAGTAGTGGACCCAGAAGCCACAGGGCTCTTATAGTATCTTATTAATCTTGAACAAATACAACAAGCTATTCAACTTTGCTATGAAGACAAAGATCTGCCACCTCCTGGCCCAAGGAGACTAAGTGCTCCTTAAAACTTAGGAATATGGAACTCCTGCAAAGCAATTAAAATCAAAATGGAAGGGTCTTTTTTCAGTGATCTTCTCCATGCCCGCAGCCGTAAATAGCTGGATTCATGTTTCTAAGATAAAAGCCAGCCTCACCTAAACTATCTGAGGCAGAGAACATCCCCCCACCAAAGAAAGCTACTCATGAATCTCTGGAAGATCTGAGATTCCAATACTGCTCTGGGTGCAGAAGTAGAGTCATTAGTAATCCTTGATCAAACACATCTTAAATGAGCACCTGTCTTGTTAGTCTTATTTTTAGTTGAATCTTTAATATGAGCAATTGTACTGGGGCTGCAGCTCTCAGGCTCTTGGTCGTTTATCTAATATCCATTTTTTCCACGCTTTCTTCTTCATTGGGACCATAGAAATAACACTCCTTAGAAAACTTCTTCCAGATAATAGTATAGAAAAATAATTTTTTCTAACTACTGGATCTGTAATAGTCCACCTCTTCAGACTCACCTGGAAAAATTCTGACCTGCTCCTTCTCATATATGGCCTCTGCCTCCTCAAACTAATGGTAGAATTTTTCTGTTCAAGACTTCAAAAAATCTACCTTAAAATGATGATCCAGACTGTAGCCCATGATTCTCCTGACAAATTCACTGAGATTTCTCTCATTGGATAGGAAACTCAACAATTCATGACATATAGGTGGTAACTCTGTTTTTCCTGGTCTTTTGACAGGTTCTTTCTAGCCCAGCTGGTGAGCCCAACATCCCAATATAGTCACAGAGTATATAATCCCTAGTAGGTAGGGCCTAAATCCCCTTTCACCAGGCAACAGCTATAGGAAATATCTCCACTCCCTCAGCATCCCGTAAAGAATTATAGGATGAGAGGCAGGGCAAAATGAGGTAGAAGATTAAGGCTGGGACAAACAGGTGAAACAACTGGGCAAAACATGTTGAAGTCATGTAAACCCAGGCCCATGTGTGGAACACAAAATCTAGCATAACTCTGTGATCCCTGAGCACTGTACACAGAACCAATCAGAAAGTGCTGTTTTCAGCTCTTCATTTACATCTGGCAGGAAGCAAAGCACATCTTTTGATGGAACATTTTAAATTAGGCATCAGACCAAGTGATTTTTTGATAGGACAACTGTCCCAATGCTTTACTCAAGCCAATCTAGGAATTTCAGACCCTCCTTTTTCCTCAGGGTTTTTTTGATTCTGTTTATTGCCCAGCTGTCACTCTGCAGAGTGAACTTCTTTTCCACCTTCAATATACGTACATTTCTGCTAGCTTTTCTGAGTGTCTTGTCCAATTTTTTTTCATGAAATCTGTTTCAGGATGATATATTTACTTCTGAGTGCTTTTCTTTCACATTTACTCTTTTATTTTACAAAATCTGAAGCTAAATTTTGAAATTTCATGTTATTTATTCCTATCAATTTATCTCATCACCCTATTTGGAAATTTGTTGTTTCCTATGCTTCTGAACATAATGACTACATTTTGAACAAATGTTTCTAGTTGTGAGAAAATAAATTCAAGCAAATTTGGAGAGGTGACTATAGTGTTGGAGGAGGATAATTGTCTTCTTTGAACCTTATCTTCTTAATAAGAATTAGTTAAGTATGAACAGAGGAGCCATGTGCCCCAGTTTGCTTATTTGCATGTGTTATCCCAATATAATTATTAACAGTGTTCCATTTCACACCCAAATGTGTTTGATTTAGAGGAAAAATTACAGTCATTATACAATAAATCAACCTGTGAATAAAGTGAGAATCACAGTCTTCTATTAAGGTAACATTAAGGAGAAACTTGTGCTGTCACCAGATACTTAGAACTTTATTTGTATATAAATTAGAGACAGAACTGTGGCTTTAACAATATGCTACTAAATCATTATGTTAAGCATTATAAAAGTGACAAACTTTATAGAGGAGAAGGTAATATCAGTAAAATTTGTACATCTGATTTTAATACCTAAACATGGAGAAGATATTTTGATAGTAGAACTAAAACAAGTAGGAAACATGAAACAGATCAAGGTAACAATATAATCCCTACAAGCTGCAAAGTAATTGTATATATGTATATGTATATATGTGTGTATGTGTGTATATATATATATATAGAGAGAGAGAGAGAGAGAGATAAAGATAGCATAAAGCTAGAAAACTTACAAGGTGCCTGTACCTGCTGAGAAGAAATTAGAAGAAACTAGAAGGCATCTGGAGATTATGAGAAGTGAAGATCCCCAAATAAAGAATAAAGCATCCATGCAAGTTTTGATAGACCAACCTAAGAAAAAAATCAGCCAAAATGGAAAAAAAAAAAAGGTAGCCATTTCCTTTTTTAAGAACAAATAAGTATAAGGTACATGGACTACTTTTCTTTAATTAGTTCTCTAATCTGGGCAAAGTTCGTTTCCAGTTCAGGGTCCAAACTGAAGAAAAATGTCAAGGATGGTACACAACTTGAGTAGATGATACTAAAAGATTATGGATGTAAAGTTTCAAACAAATACAGAAAAAAAGATTAGAGTCAGGGAAACTTGAAAGCATGCATCTACTGTGTTGTATATCACAGAAAAACAAAAGAAGTGGGAATTTTATTATAAATATTATTCCAATTTACATCTATAGCTTCAGGGAAGTTAATTACAATTACAAATACTGTATATAACAAAAATAATTTTAATATCAGATTATTATGAAGAAAACAATACAGTATGGAAAGTGCATGACAGAAATACAATACTTAGAGTACATTTCAAAATTATATATGAAAAGCAAAGGCTTACTAAAATAAACTTGCCACATAAAAATGGATCTATATCTGAATTAGAGAACAAATCTGATAATTCAGAAAATAATTAGGAGTAAGAAAGTGAATTATTTCTTAAAGAATAGCTAAAGTAGAAGAAACTAAGAATTGTATGTACATAATATTCAATGCATTAAGGAAACTAGAAGAAGGGTGTAATAAGACTAAAGTGAAATAAACAGAATTTAAGAAAACATATCTCAAAGTCATAAAAATCAAAGATTGTAAGAGTCCACAATGTAGGCTGTGCAAAGACTGGGAGGTGCCAACTGTATGTGACACTGGGAGCAGCTCTGTCTGTCCCTGCCTGAGGGCACCACAGCAACTGAGAGTGATGTGGAGATAATCATGGTAAGGAGACATGGGTGGGGAATCAAGGGACATTGAGAAATACACTAGCTGAAGACTGGCCCCAGCTCCCACATCTGTAGGCCAAGATCGACACTGTACCCAGCATTAATCCTATTGGAGAATTGTTGTGGTTACACAGCAGTTTTGGGGCACTACCTGTCTTGGACACTATCATGGAACTGTGGACTTCAGAGTAATTTTATTATTATTATTATTATTATTATTATTATTATTATTATTACCATTATATTAATGTTATTGTTATTTTCTTTTTTCTGTATGGTTGGTGTCTTTTTATTTAATTTTTTTAGGTTTTTAACTTTATTTTAATTTTGTTGTACTGGTCTTCTTTCTCTCTTTCCTCAACTATCTCTCTTAATATTATGATATTTTCAAGTAAGTAAAAATTATCTCCTGTCTTTCTGACTCATTTCAATATTCTTTTGCTTTATACTTCATTGTTTCTCTCCTACCCACTCAGTTTCCTAAAGCTTGGGCAATGATCCTTCGTCCTACTGCCTTGCCTCTACTACATTTTCCTACATTTATCTATCTGTTTTGTTCCTATCCCACTTAAATCCTCCCATAGGGTAAAATTACTCCACTAATGGGAAATTCATTGCACACAAGTTATTAGATTATGTTGGATTTTGTAATATAACTGTAGATCTTGCTCCTATGGTTAAAGTTGCCAAATTTATAATTAACACAGTTTGTCAGTTTCCTATATTTTCAGTTTCTAGGCTGCGCTTGATACTATTATTATTGATAATTATATGACTTAGCCAGGATGTCATACCTGTTGTAATCAGTTGTTCTCCCTTATATGACAACATTGTAATTGTCTGGGATCATAACCATCACCACAGTCCAGTACCAAAGGGACTGGGTGCTCAGCCAAATAGGTAGCAATTATTCATCCTTAATAAATTAGGAAGTTAGGATCCTGGAACAGACACAAGACAAAGAACCACCTATGCCCAGAAGACATCTCTGAGGAATAGACATTTCCAAGTGAAGCCTCAATACTGGCGATAAAGCTAGCTACAATAAGAAATTTACAAGCATCAACACAGAAAACAAAATAATAGAAAATGACAAAACACAGAAGCAAACCAAGACTTCCTCCCATCCCAGGAAAAGTATAGGGGACAATGAGACAGAGAAAATTGAAGACAGCCACCTGAAATTTTTGAAATGATAGCAGCAGAAGTTTTTAAAAAAGAAAATAGAGAAAATAA